TCAAACACAAGAGCGCGGTCTGTTCTCCAGCAACACTTTAATGAAAAAGCTAATTCACGCATCAACCAGTGCTTCAGTTATCTCTGGTGTGCGCTGACTGTGACCTATGACTGGGCACCAGAGGCTGTGTGTTGTCCGGCTAATAGACACTCTGTTTCCCTCAGCGTGTGTTAGCCAGCGAGGTAATCCCAGAGGATATCATCCCCGCGGTCACCGTATCGCCGTAATCCAGGCGCTGTTGGTTTAATCACACCTGATCACTACCCTTTAAATAAGCCATCGCACAAGAGAGATGCCACATAGCAATATTACAGAATGGCTGCCGAACCCTTAGTTTACTGACTTTAAAGCAATGTGCTATAAAAGGGCGTAGCTCATCTCGCTTGTAGGATTTGGATAATTCTGCTTTTTGACATGCTCATCATGGATCAGTCAGAGTTTAGCACTGGATACAAATGGAATGGTAACTTAATGTTCTATCAATAATCTCCATCATCGGCAGTGAAAGGTATTTGTTGTTGTGTGGTTGGGCTGCTTGCTCTGTGTCTGCATCATAGATAGAAGCTGATATAAGACGTCTTGCCTTGATCGTCCATTCAAATCCTATTCTCAGTGTTTCAAAGTGTTTCCTGGATGTGACTTGTGATCACAACTATGGACTAGGGATGGGAATTTGAAAGCAAATGTATATTCGAATATTCGACCCCCAAAAAAACGGTTAACCGAAATGTCGAATTTGTCAAATGTATTGAACTGGTGATCACAGTTTGAACAGTTGACCGCTATAGGCCTACAGCTTTCATGCTTAAAACATAACTTGGTTTTTAAATGAAAGAGGGATCATACACGAACAACATAACGGGTTGTAACGTAACCCGTGACAACAGAGATCAACAACCTGTAACAGGGCCTGTGCACAGAATGCAGCTATTCAATACTCATTCTTGTTTAAGAATATGAGCATGTCTACTCGGGGGAGAGGCGGGTGCGATTCACAATCAGGCCAGCTGTAGAGGAGACCCTCTCAGCTGGATTTTTGGGCATAAGATGAGGTTTGAGTCTGCGTGGTCTGCGTGTCGGGAGGGGCAGCAGCCGTATCATTAGCTAGAACTAGCTAGATCTGATGGATTTGGACATAAACGCGAGTGAAGTATAACCGGACGCGAGAGAGAGAGATCAGCAGCTCTGCCCGCCGTGAGGGACCGGTGAGCGGAGCAAAACACACCTTTAGACCAAACACACTTAGCTATGGCACTGTCGTATACATTGAATTATTCCATTTGATCATATGTAAACAACTTAGGCACCCCTCCCAAAAAAACTAAAATTACAATAAAAATATTCATAACTCATATTCTCATATTCTCACACCTGAATAGTTTTGAATATCCGATGAATCGATCCCATCCCTACTATGAATGTGCTTGTAATATCCTGCATGAACTGCTACTGAAGCTGTAATATCCTGCAGTAATATCCTGCCACTTAATGCATGACATAACGTTCCCCCACCACTGTCTGCTGGAGCTCAGCTGGGGGCACACGTCTTGGGAACTTTATTATTTAGTTTGAAAAAGCTTAGGAAATTAACTTGACACTAAGTTTACTTTTATACAAACTCTTTAATCAAACAAAGAGCCCAAAGTGCTTCAATTAGAAAAAAACAACATAACATAAATAACAAATCAATGTTGTTTTGTTGGACAAAAAATTACAAAAAAAAACATTAATAAGAAAAGAATAAATGAAACACAAACACTTTTAAAAAGCAATGATAGGACTTTAACATTAAAAGATAGATTTGTCAGAATACAGAGAGAGCTATTCTAATATCCAGAGGCAGTCAATTCCACAGTTTAGGGTCATCAAAAAGATTAGATGAACTTTTAAGAAGACCAAAGAGTTCCCAGTACAGCCTCTTTTACTCTAGAGCAGGGGTGTCAAACTCGCGGCCCGGGGGCCAAATCCGGCCTGTGACTTCATTTCATGTGGCCCCACAAGAGCTTGCAAAGAATATAATACGTTTATGATACGGTTACAGGCCGATTTACAGAAGCACAATGCCCATAAACTACATGTCCCACAATGCATCTCACATTTGACTTTTTTCTCAGAATCTGACTTTTTTTTTCAGAATTTGGCTTTTCTTTTCAAACCATTTTGTGACATACGCACTGAAGAGACTTGCCATTATTTGCCCTAGACTTCTGCTTTCAGACGTAGTTAATTATGAAGTTATTACCCTATCCGATAATAATCCAATGCAGAGGCAATGATGTAATATAATACATTATTTTGTATACATTAAATATGTATATATGTATTTTTATATAGTCTTAAAGTTACAACCGGCCCTTTGAGTGCAACCATAATGCTGATGTGGCCCGCGATGAAATTGAGGTTGACCCCCCCTGCTCTAGGCTGTTGAATGAGAATGAAGTAATGACGCTTACATTTGAAACTCAATAGGTAAATATAAAAGTGTTCTTCCTGAAAGCTTTAATAATGTCCGACCCCCCCCCTGCCAGTCAGTCTAAACCACAAACAACTTCAAGATTCCCGTTTACACGTCGGCAGCTTGTGTTGTTCTCAGCAATCTGATGTCTGATTTTTTTAAATAACTTTAGAAACTCTTTAGAGCTCAGTTTGCTCAAGGTGTGCTGGAGCCGCGCCTCGTGTTGTAATAGAGAGTGTGTGTGCACATGTGACTTCAGCAGAAAACTATTTGTGTGACTCGGCTGCAACATGCCTCAGGTTTGTTTTATTGGCTGTCATCAGACAGAGACGGACAGATAACAAGAGTTATAGTGGTAAAAGAACACCATGTCCCCTCTTTGTGTCTGACAGTATGTGCCACTCTGAAGCTCCTTTCCACAGGTTTAAAGTGCAAGAACCGCTCATCCAAATAACTTCACACTCGTCACTGCACTTCCTTGTAGTGTTGCACGGTGTACCGATTCTTTCACACACACATACGGGTATTGGGCCGAGGGCGACACCGTACTTCCGGTATCCGCCGGTTTACGCGAGGTGCAAGCAGGCCAAGGGTTTAGCCGTACACCGTCGAGGTGTTGCTAAGCTTCCTGTACTGAATATCATAGTCTATTGCCTTAATCAATATCTAGTCAACTCTAAAATACCACATATATGCAATGGCATGATAATATTATTGTGACAAGTGGGGTATTCACCTGGTGTTTCCAGAAGATAGACGTAGATGCAGCCAAAATCGATGCAGTCTGTAAGGGCAATCCGACAACCCACACAGCTCTAGTTTACGCTGGTAACGACCTGGAGCACACCCCTCAAGTCCAGAGATGTAATCCGAAGACATGCAGCGATTTCTTCGGTCCTTAATTCAGAAAAAAAACCTAGTGCGCTCTGCCTGGCTACGTTAGCTAGCTGTTTATATTTGCACTTCCAGGATATTTGCACCTCCATGAAAATGGCGTATTTATATATATATATATATATGGCGCGTGTTGCATTGTGGGTAGCTCGTGACGTCACTGTGTGTGAAATAATACTTGAAAGGTACCGCGATACCCTGCCGTTAAAAACGGTACGATTCCTCCGTTTCATTAGTATCGGTACTTTAAGAATGACGGGGGGAAAGTACTCCGGTGAGAAAGCGCTGTTTTAATAAGAGCCGTGTGTGTTCAGCGCTCTGCTTCCACTCCCTGCACTGCAGCCGTGCCTGCAGCCCCTCCCCTCTCAAGCACGCTCTAAGTCCCTCCCCTCTCTCGTGCACGCAGCCACGCGCTAGCTGCCAGAGCATGTGAGAAAGCGAGAAGCATGGCTGCAAGTGGGAGTGCAAGTGGGAGTGCAACTGGCGCTGCGCCTCGGCTTGTTGACAAAAAAGACGCCAGAAGCTAAATGTGGAAGTATTTGAGCGACATCTCTGACAGTGAGGGCAAGCCTACGGACACCACGAGGCCTGTCTGTGAGACATGTTTTAGATCCCTGCAAACCAAGGGAGCCAACACATCAAACTTGGTTAAGCACCCCGCCGACCGGCATCCAGACAGGTTAGCGAATGTGATAGATAACATAATTACATCATGCTCAGCCCAAGCCCTCAAATCTAAGTCAAACAAGTGTAATTTATTTTGTGACAAATGAACGTTTTCGTAGTTTGCCGAGGCAATTAATGGCAATGATAACTGTCTAATATGGCTATCTTTGTAGCTAACTTACCAATGTGGTTATGGTTCTGGTGTGAAATATAAAGCACAATAATTACATTTAAGACTGTTTCCCTTTTTTTTAAGAAAAGTATCGAAAAAGAATCGGAATCGCAATTCTTGACTTGGTTTTGGTTTCGTGACAACACTACTTCCTTGTGTTGTCAGTTATTCTCCCGCCAAGTGTGAAGACAATCGGATGAACGGTTGTCAAGGAAAGCGAAGGACAGAGACATTCATACAAAGACTAATCAATTTTTGTTTGATTCATTTGTTCATATTCGGTGGAAAAAGGCTTTCAAAAACATATCAGATTTTATAAATATATTTCAAAGACTAATTGAGAGAAACTCTAAGATTGTTATTTACTTTTGTAAAGATTTTTGTTAATATTATGTAGTACTACTGAAAAGAGGGTGGGGGGCAATATGCAGCAAAGAGTTCAGGTATTATTTGTTAGCCCCTTTCTGAGGGGAAATCAATGCTTCAACATTATTTAAGCACCATTTTTCTAACTTTTACCCAAAATCGTCTTTTTTTTGTTCAAAACAAATTCCTGCCGTTTGCTGCTAGAACTTACAAACGAACAACTGTCTTTTGTGTAGAAGGATTTCTTGGTAAAGTGTGTATTACTATAATAAATGTATATCAAATGTCCTGAAGGGCTTTAACACTATATGATACACCTCCGTTACCCCCAAGAAACATATTTCAAGGCTTGGTATTGATTTAATCATGATTGTGGAACATCAAATGGAAATGGATGTATGTGATATATGTGTCAGACACTTACTTTAGTCCTTGTTCTCCCTCCAGCTCTGCTCAGGAAGCCATGCTAATAAAAGTGTTCCGCTCGCGGTGAGCTGCCTGGCGGACAGTCGGAGGCGTCATGGCGGAGCTGCCTATTGCCCCGGGCGAGGTCTACATCGAGGTGGAGTACGACTATGAATACAAGTCCAAGGACCGCCTCATCACCATCCACCAGGGGGATTGCTTCATGCTGGTCAAGAAAAGCAACGAGGACTGGTGGCAGGTGAGGAAGGAGGAAGGGACTAAACCTTTCTACGTACCCGCTCAGTATGTCCGTGAAGTGCGTAAAGCTCTCATGCCCCCTCCCAAAACCCTTCCTCTTCCTGTTGCTGCCCCCGGAAACCCAACTCCACAAAGTGGGGGTGTACTGTGGGTGAAGCCAATCAGTCTGGAGCTGGGACCCGCGGACAGCCTCCACCGACACGAGTCCAACTACCGGCGCTCCCCCTCTGCACACACCGCCTCTTCTGGGAACTTCAGCCCCCCCACCCAGCGCAGGAACAGTAGCAACCATCAAGGCCCCCCCACCACCCCCACCAACCACGACCGAGCTCTGGCGGACATCCTTCAGCACGGCGGAGCCCACCTCCCCGCTCAGAGAGAAAAGTCTAGCACTCTGCCCCGAACCAGAGCCCAATCCCCGGACATGGAGCGATCCCCGCTGGACGTGGACCGCAGGACGGACTCTGCGGGGGAGGAGAGGCGCACCAACGACTCGGAGTCAGGAGACGAGCTCAGCAGCAGCTCCACCGAGCTCCTCCAGGTAGAGTCACATTTAAAGACATTGTTTGTGCTGTTTTTATACATGCAAAGCTTGGGTTGACACTCATTTTGGCTCCAGGACCAGGACCCGGTTCAAAATCTGGGGACCGATCCAGATCCTGTAAGCTAAGGTTTCTCAGCCAATCGCTTTTTATAGTTACTCAACAAAACCCCCCCCCCACAGGCTTCATGAGTCAAAAGTCTGGGACGCATATAACGCAATAGAGCTGTTTGCAGCCATTTCTGACCATTGTCAATGTTTGCAGACGGCTGTTTTGTAATTGTACAGTACTCTAAATTAGGGTTGTGTTTCGTTTGAATTTCAACTAATCAGAAATAAGATTAGAATTTTTACACTTCATTCATTTTTGGGTACCCGGCTCCTGGCATTGTGGATTGGCTTCTTACTGAAAACCGAGTTTCGGTTACCAACCCTCTGTCAAACCCCTCAATATACAAACAATTATGGCAATCAATAAAGTGGCATCCACGATTCAGCAGCGAAGATCATTTGCAGCTTGGCCAATGAAAATAAACCTGAACTAAAAGGCATTGTTAAGCGTTCTATTAAAGCTACAGCCGTTGTCTGTATTGGCGCCATTTGAATATTGCAGTGAAGTGTCTTTCTGCAGCTGGTTTGACTTATTTCTCTCATGTTAAGGTGATCTGACCTCCTGACCTAAATGACAACGTGTTGTAGAACAGTTTGATGTTGATCTGTCACTGCTGGCCTAAAGCTACCGAGGTGCAGACAGAGGCAGCTCAGCTCCGTCCGAAAGCCTCAGCGAGAGGAGGCAGCTGATTCATGTGAGCCCGGTCAGCGGGGCGTCTGTTCCTGAAATCATTAGCTCGGTCTGCTGCTGAGCGAAAGCCGGAGAGAACATAGAAACCAGGTGTGGTGCTGCCGCCGGGTGCAGACCTGTTTGATTAGTTACAATCAAGTCACACATGTATAGTGCTTTTACTAGAATACGTAATAAATACGCCCCCCCAACGGAGCCCCGCGCCCCCCCTGAAATTCAAGGTGTTTCTGTTGTTGTTAAAATATATATATATATATATATATAGCGCCAAATCGCAACTGAAGTAATCTATCTACGGTAGGGCTGAACGATATATCGTGTCATGGCGATAACCGCGATATTCACATCGCAGGGACGTGCGATTTTATTCATAAAAAAAAAAAAAAAATTCAATTATTTTTAGGACGTGTGATATTAAGTAGGTACATGAACTCAAACACGTCATGTTACAATTATTTTGCTGCTTGCTACAAAAGGAAAACTTGCGCGGCTCTCATGTCAGGGGTACTTGAGTGAGTGACATGCCGGCTCTGCATGCACAGCAACCCACCAATCACAATCATTCTTGATCAGATCACAGCAGGCCCGCCCCGCTAGTTTGCAGACCATCAAAACACCGTAAACAATGAGCGAGGCACAGGAGGGCAATACCGGGGAGAATGAAGATTTACTTCTGAAAAGAAAAGCAACATCTGCCATCTGGAACTATTTGGATCCAAAAAGGTTCTTCTCTTCTTCATTCACAGATGAACCTTTGAGGGTAAGCAACATGCTTTATCATGACATGTTAGATCATGACTTAAGGTATGATGAGTCAACCAGTTAAGATCCAGACGTCCGTGACTAAAATCCTTCATCCGGTTAAATATAGTTAAAAAAAACGCAATATATATCGCAGGGGAAAAAAATATCGCAATGTCAGTTTTTTTCAATATTGTGCACCCCTAATCTACGGTCACTTTTTGCATTGAACATGTGCTCTTTTATTAAATAAACTAAACGCTTATGTTATTTATGTGCATGTTTCAGTCCACTGCATTGCTTTGCACGTTCACATTCTGTCCTCCGCTCTGTTTCTGAAGGGCGGGGCTCCGCTCCGACACTCACAGTCTCAGACAAGAGCGGAGGAAAGGAGGAGAACAACAAAGTGAAAAAAGTCAAACAAATCTGCATTATAGCCCCGAGCCCTGCTGTTGGTCATGTAAGTCCTGGGCGTCATTTCCACATGTCCCCCCCACTGTTCAAAATCCCGTTTGTTTCCCCCCCCACTTTCAAATTTGTTTATTATTATTTGTTAACCTCAAGCCGTCATCGTCACGGAGGAGCAGGACACAGGGTGCCTGGGTGGGTGCGCGCAAACACGAACGTATCGTGCACTTTCTAAAAATAGCTCACTGATGATGAGCAGGTACCGCGGTTGAAAACAACAGCAGCAGATTAGTGTAATGACTTGGGTGAAAAAAAAAGACAGGAGATGTGAGTTGGTTTATTCACCCCCCCCCCCCCCCCATCGGCAGCACCCCCCCAGAGCAGTAAACACTGAGTACCATAGCAGAACCCAGCACTCTTCACACACTACTTTTGCTTCGTGTCAGTATTTGGGTTAGGTAGGTTTGTAGCAGCTTTTGCACAATAATATTTCCATCGTTTTTGGGGAGTCTAAACTTTGCCTGCTGTAGTCCACTCTAAAGAGGCAGTGTGCATTTTTCACATTCATTTCTATTATAATTTTCCTATTTCTATAACTACAATATAGCCACATAATATGAGTAGTTACATTTAAATGCAGAGCTTTTCCCTTGAAAATGTGAACCTTAAACTGTTTTGTGCCAAATGCATATTTTTGTAAAGTTATAGCAGACCATAGGGAAGATTGGTTGACCTCTAAAATGGACTTTTGGTAAAAGCATTAAGAATAATTTTTTTATTGATTCACTCATTTAGTTTTACATTTTATTTTCACATTACTTTTGATTTAAGTTAGTGAACTTATTGCAACAAGTTGTATTCACATCGACATTGTCATCTTTACTTTTCAAAGTCCTGATTTAAAAGCGATGCACAACACAGTGACGTAACACTGACTCAGTATGTTGTTAAAGGTTATCTAAAAGTGAGTGTATTCAATTTCAAAGTGCGCACATTTCCTAAAAGCAGCTCGGCCCACAATGCAGTTCCTTCCTCCCTCGGCCCTCTGTGTGCCATTCAGACGGCCGGGGGAAAGGTCAGAGCAGTCGAGCTTGTTTTGGTAATCAAGACAATCAGTCTAGTTTAGTCTGGGAGTAAACTCTGTGATCTACTTTCATCCTGGGAGCCATTTGATCTGCAAACATTACAACACGTCATGTGGCTTCTCTGTTTTTGTTACTCTTTCAGATACCTACTGTTAATAATGGGTACAGACTTTTATTTATTTATGAAAGGTTGTCAAAATGATCAGGAGTGTTTTATATCGTCGTCATGTTTTAATTTGTTATGGAAAGAAATGATGTCATGTGTTATCCACCACCTCCACTTCATCCATTCTTCACCGGATGTGTAAATGACGTTGTTAGCACCCCGCTATTCCTTAAGTAATTGATGTTGTTTGATCCGGTGGACACAGAAATACCCACAATGCTCGTGAGCGTAGAAGCTGATGATGTGAAACCAGTTTCAGCGGGTGGCTTGTTTGTTTTTCCCCTGTCCTGTCAGCATGCTGCTGGGGACAACAGCCCCCCCTCTGCTCTCATATTCTCTCCTCTCAGGTCTTTCCTTTCCTGTCGTGTAATCATTTAAGATGATACGATAATACTTTATTGTCAGAAGAACATCAATAAGGAGAAACATGAAACAGACTTTCATCAATAAAATCACTAAGGACAAAATGTGTAAGACTCTTAAATGTTTATTTGACCTGTGATTGAACCTGCATTTATTAGGATTGACTGGTTCACAGAGAGTGCTTCCGTCTAACTTTTTTTAAAACGTCGGACCTTGTAACTCTGATTTGATGGCAACAATGACTGGATATAAAATCACAAAGCTGAGAGTTTTCCATCTGCCAGTTCTTGTTTCTTATTTCCTTCTGATAAGCTGTTAGGCAGTGCTGACTGAGTGAGTGTGTCTGTAGAGCTGCACACTTCATTGCTGGCTCTTATCTGCCCCACTGGCTGCCATGACACTTGGGACCACTTTGTCCCTACTTTTGTGACGAGTCATCGTTCAATAGCCGCTGCGCTGTCACCCTCGCCTTGTTTGTTAGCACGATAAACCGCTGAGTGTCTTTTTAATGAAGTTTGTCCTTTTTTGTGGCCAATGTTACAAAATGGGCATTCATCCAATAGCTCAAACACCGCTTACTTAATTTTGGTTAAATCTGAGGAACTCATTTCAAATAGTATGGAATTTTTCTAGAATTTAAAAAAGTAGGACAAATCAGTTATTTTAAATGGAGTTGCAATCAGCTGTGCATTTCCTGGCAAAGGTGACATTAACTCATGTGACTGTTCAACTTTGGGGAACTTGAATTTGCACTGTTGACCATTAGCAAGCAAACGCTTTTTAGAAAGCAAAACCTTTTAAAGTCACTTAGCAAGCTTGCTACTTCAGACGCCTTTGTGTCCGTTCTTACACGATTAATTTAACTGCTTAATGCTAATTTCCTGAGGTAAAAATGTCAGCGGCAGTAAAGCACAGAGCCGTGTGTAGGACTTTACTGCTAATGGCCTTTGTTGTGAGGAAGTTACAGGAAGTGTAGTTTTTGCTAGTTCTTCAGCTTAGATCAGGTCAGGTTTTTAACAGAAGCTAGAAATTGGTTTAATTGCATTTAGGCATTTCTGGCAGATCAGTAGTTTGGTAAAGCCTGCGTCACACTGTCCCGAAATTGACACCAGATAGACACACGATAAAGGAAATGTTCAAATTCGGCTCTGATCGTAATAACATCGGGCCATTCGTGAGGGCATCTTAAGCCATCGTATGACCGCCGGTGGAGTTTCTCAGGCTCCAGCAGCAACTTCGTGAGCGGTGGCAAAATCTTTGGCATGCCGAAAAATTGCCGAAAGACCTTGCGAAGGTTCATTTTCGTGTTGAATTTGTGTGTCCATTTTGCCCTTCGTAAGGCCATCGCGAGGGCATCTTGTCAAATCGTGTCGTCTTCACTTCGTGTGATCATCGGTGCCATCGGGCGTTTTTCGCCTCACGAAGACAATACGAAGGAAACAAGAAGCTGCCCGATTGTCTTAGGAAGGCAACACGACTTCGTGAAGCCATCGTGTAGCCATCGTATTAT